CCCCCCCGGGTGAACAGGAAGGAGGTGCCCCCCCGGGTGAACAGGAAGGAGGTGCCCCCCCGGGTGAACAGGAAGGAGGTGCCCCCCCGGGTGACACACACACGGAACCGTCACTTACAATCACGGCGGTGATCAGGGCCGGCAGTTGGGGTCGTAGAAGTTTCCAGAATTCGGTCCAGTTGAACTCGGGTTCTGGTCTCGTGTTCTCCAGTACCGGCGTTGGATGAGCCGTCACCTCTACCTGGCAGAAGACCACCCGGCCCCCCACACTGGCCAGTGCAGGGCCCAGCAACAGGGCCACCGTCCGGCCTTTACAGATGGGCTTATAGCTCCTTGCGGAGCCGAGGGCGGAGCCACGAGCGGCATTGCGGAGGCGGGCGTACCACTGAAGGGGCGGAGTCAGAGCAGAGCGCGGAGCGCTGGTGACACTGAGGTGCCTGCAGGAGAAAAAAAAACGGAATTATTACATATCCAGAGGAACCCCAAAACCGCGTCCATGGGAAGAGGAATCCTGGGGATGAGGATAACCTGCGCACAGAAAGATGCAGCGTGTATAAGGGGGAACTCCAGGTATGAAGATGCCCAGAGAACAAACAGTGTGGTGATGGGGGGTGAGGAGGGTGATGTGGAAGACATCCGGGGCGGAGGTCGGAATATCCGGGAGTGATCTTCCATACGATCCGGGGCGGAGGGCGGAATACTCGGGAGTGATCTTCCATACGATCCGGGGCGGAGGCTGGAATATCTGGGAGTGATCTTCCATACGACCCGGGGAAGAGTTCATCCCCCTCACAGGAAGATCCCTCCTCTGGGGTCAGGAATCCTCATGGTAGGAGAGTGTTGGGGCCCCCGGGCTCGGCCATTCCTGTGGTGGGCTCCCTGGCATCTCCCGGAAAACAGAAGATTATCCTTCCGAGGCTCGTCAGCCAATCCCTAGCAAGGCTGCCGATCTCCGGCAGTCTCCACTTTGCCCATACGGCGAGCGACCATACTAGTGAGGCAAGCAGGAAAGGTCGGGGGGCTCGGGGAAGACGGACGTTCCCGATTGGTTGAAGTGCTGAGCGTTTGCTCCATCACTGCGGAGGAACCATCTTCATCTATTGATGGACAACCCAAAGCCTAGATGTCCGGCCAGGGCGGTACAAGAAGCTTGCCTTTGCTGCAGATCTTCCGGGTCAGCAGAACACGAGCCTGGACGAGTCGTGAAGGACAAGTATCTCCACCGGGTCTTTCCTATTTGGGGTTGGCCCGAAGTGGACCCCATGGCGATGCCGGTCAGCTCCGGCCTCCCTTTGGTCTTCCCGGTATCAGCGGCCGCAGTTGAAGGGTCAGGACACCTCGGGTCATCCATGGAATCTTCTCCTGGTCTGCGTCTATCCTTCCACGTCGCTCATCCTGAAGACTTCCAGAGGAGGGAGCAGCCGCGGCGGTCTTTCCTTTTTTGGCCAAATCGTCCATGGTTCCCGCTTCTGAAGCTCATGCCGATGGCTCCTCCTACTGCGCTCCCGTTAGTCGGGGATCTTCTCTTCCAAGGGGGTGACTTCCATCCCAACCTCAGGTCGGCGGTGCGGAAGGAAGTTGAAGGGGTCAGCCGGGCTTAATGTTCCAGAATCTGTTCAGAGAACCCGGCTGAGGTCCTGGAAGAGTCCCACCAACCACGGAGCGCGGGAAAAGTCGGAGCCTTCGATCCGTTGTTTCCGTCTCTCTCGGAGATCCTGGAATCCGCTCTGGGTGAAGCTTTGAGATAGAACACCAACGTCTCCGCAACGTCACCTCTCGCAGGGGTCCTCCATTGGAAAGCATTCCTTCTGGTCAGATGATCTCATCCCTCTTAGATCCCTCCCCTTGAAGGAAGTCTTCTCGATGGCCAGTCTGAGCTCCGAGCCTTCTCTCCGAAGCGTCCATATTGCCCAGTTGTTCAGGTGCCGTCCTTCCCTCATCACTTGGACATGGTGCTGCCATCCCTACCTTTGGGTGAAGGTTCTTCGGGGGAAGGGAAGATTGGTCTGGGGCTGGGACAGGCAGCGGGGGACTGGGACAG